AATTAAGCCCAAAGCGGGTGCCTAACGGCAGTTTGAGGCTCTGCCATCCCCACCAGCCACGGAGCTGTCGGGGATCCCCCATCCGTCGGGGTGCAAGGAATGGCTTTAACGGGGTGTCCTTTGCCAGGACACGCCTGTGCCTGGGTTGGGTGGCGTCGCCCACATGGTCCCACTGGAAATTTATTCAAGGAGCGCACCAGGGATGGTTTTTTCTCAGTCTTCCCCTGGCTGCAGGTGGGTTTGGGTTCCCACTACCAGCGCGGCAGGCCCTGCTTGTATAATTCTGCATCCTGCACCGATGTCAGGAATCATTTCTTGGGCAGAAACAGCCAAAAATTGTCCCCAGCTTGTCAGCCCATAGCCACGCCGCCTGCCTCCATCCCCTGGGGCTCCAATTCATGCTTATAAGGCACTTTTTGAGCCGGAGAAGGATGAGGCAAATGCGAAGTATTCCTAATTAATCACTATTGCTATTCATTATCATTCAAGGCATATTAACTAAGCAGGCAGAAAATGTCCTCAGCGGGGCTTATTCTCTGCCACAGTTGTTTACTCCACAAGTGAGGATCTCTCCTCCCGTGGTTTCGGGCTGTGCCGTTCACAAGGCACCCACAGTTTTCAAGTGATCAATTGCTGGTGGCATCTCACCCTCTGTCCCTCATCCCTTGGGGGGTGAAACATCCCCTCTTTGGCATCTTTTCTGGTAGGGAGCAGTGCCAATTTGGTGGGAGGACGGCCAGCACCCCTGGTGTCTCTTTCCCAGCTCTGATGTCCTTGGTGAATACAAAAAAAATAGCAGGTGGCTCTGGGGGAAGTTTGGGAAGGAGCAAAGAAGAGGAGAAAAACCTGCACCCTGTCTAGCAATTATCCTGGGTAACACATTTGACAGCGTAATCTCTGCAAAGCCTCTGAGACAGCTTTGTTGGGCAAACAAAACTTGCTCCTCTCCTTTTATTAAATCAACTGTAGAAACAAAACATGAAGTAACCGGTGCAAAGGTTTTAGTGAAGCCTGGGTAGAAGTGATAGCCCAGAGGCAAAGCACAGCCGTTCCCATGAAATACCAGCTGGTGCCGTGTGTGATTTTCCATCAAATTTATTGTAATCTAAGACTTTAATTAAAGTCAGAAAATAAAACCCCTGAAATACATACAAAATCCCTGAAGTGTGTCCTAAGTGCTGAGTTGCTGGAAACTGTCTCCTTCAGGAGACAGAAGCTTATTTCCATTTGGGAATCAAAACTTGTGTTGATCAGAATATTTAGCAAGGACTGGCACTTAAATAGCATTTTATGGTACCACCTTTTGCATTGATATCAAAGGTACTTAGAGGTGAAAATGAACCAAATACCACTTTTTTTCCCCCTCTGAGCAGAGCCGGTGGCTTCCTTGCAAGGACAGGACAGGTGTTGGAGGTGTGTGTGCTCCCTCAGATGCTCACAGGTTCCTCCACACATGGAGACTGCGGGGACAGATGGATGGACGGACAGGTGATGGCACAAGAGCAGTGAGGTGCTCTGGAGGGCTCAGCGGGGTGGGCAGGGTACTGGGGCTGGTGGTTAAGAGCGGAGTTATCTGCTCTGCAACAGGCACCCCATCATTCCACGTCACCTTTGGGTTTTTATTTAGGTAGAGGAGGGAAGGCGAGTTTGCCATTGCATTCAGACGGGCAGGAGAAAGCGGCGTTTCTGCAGCGAAATCCTGTGACCCCCCAAACTACAGTCACAGCGCTGAATTTCGATGCACGAGCAGTACATTAACGCCGATAACCCCACCCTGAAATCCTCCGCGGAAATACTTTGCAGCAGGATCTACTGCTGAGAGCACGCTTGGCCAGGGTAAAATGAGAGCTGAGTCAACGTTATTCTTCAAAATTAGGGGCAATATCTGCTCAGTTCAAAGTACTTTAAACTCTCTGCGTGTGTGTACTAAGGTTTGCAGGGAAAGGTTTGTGCTTTTGCTGGATGTCTCTTGTACGTGACAGCTCCTGACGGCTCCAAGTGTCATCAGGACAGAGTTGACTGTTGCTAAATACAACCCCAGGTCCTGAAGTTTTGCAGGCAGAGCTGTCCCAAAGACATCAAAGCAGGACCTCCCTCCTCCTGGGCCATGCAGAAGTCACCACGTGCTACATCTGGGCATGATCCTCAGGTGTGGCTGGGGCTGTGGTGTCACCGTACCCTGGGCATGGTTGCACTGGCTGTTTCTTCAGCAAGTGTTCCTACCGGTATTAAAGTAACGAAAAGTTAATCAAGGTGTTAAAGCAACGAATAACTAACAAAGAAGGATTTTCCTGCAAATAAAACAGATTCTGTCCAAAGCTGGACGTAGCTTTGCAGTGAGCCTCCAGCCCCAAAGGCGCTCCCACAGCCCAGGAGCCTCCAGCCCAGCCCCGGGGAGCGGGGACCAAGCCAGCACCGTGCTGCAGGGCACCAGGAACCGCTCCCCAGCTCAACGCCTCGTGCGTGCCCAAAGGCATCACCGTGGAAAGCCCTGGGGTCAGTCTAAAAGCCCTTAGGAGGAGGCGGGTGAGCGCAGTAAAGTCTTAAAGCCTTGGCAAATGCCGGTGGTTCAAACCTTGGGGTAGGTCTGGGACAATGGGGTCAGGGACTGGTGTTCCTGACTCTGCCACAGGCAAATCACCAACACACTTCATACCTCTGCTCTTCCTCCAGCGACGTGAAAAACATAATAAAAAACCACAGGACAGCATATTTTCTAAAGCTTTAGTGCCTGTATAAATGAAGAGGTGGTTGTGTGAATGCCAGTGGTTTTGTCTCTGGGTTGCTCACCCAGCCGTGGACCAGGCTGCTTCACCTATCAGCAGTGCCATTGCACTCTCGGTTTAATAGATGGTTTGGCTCCAGGATTGCTCGCTTGCTGGGAAACACCACACACGTCAGGAGCAGCTAACGCTCCTGAGGTCCTCGGGACATGCAAGCCACGATTTCAGACCCATTTCGCTAGTTATTGCTTGCTGGTTGCTGTAAGTCACAAATCTAATGTGAGTGGTGGCAAAGGCACAACCACTATGAAGCGTGCACTACTCCTCACCCTGTTATTTGCCCAGTTTACTGCGAGGACACTGAGGGAGCTGGAAGAAGATGGAAATCAATAGGATTAAGGAAACTCTTTGGTTTCAATGCAGAAAATCATTCTTACTGCATCACTCATGTGTTAGAGGCAGCGAGAGACTGCTTCTAAAGGAGTCTGCTGATCCACCCAGCCACTCAACAGCCTGGTGTGAGTCTTATCCGTTCTTCTAGAGCCACCTGACAAAGCACTCGGCAGCAAAGGGGTCAGCCCCAGCGACACGTTCATCAGCCACCCGTTTTCTCTCAGAAGAGTTTGGTTGCCCGTTACCCCATGGGAATTCATTTCTGCTGAAGGCAAACCTTTTCCAGTCCGACCTTTTATTTTTGTGCATTGCAGAGGAATTTTGCCTCCAGGTACAGGAACTCAGACACTTTATAAATGCTTGAGAGCTCTGTCCGCCTCTTCTGAGTTATTATTTTATTAAAAAAAGATTTATGGATGGCTCAAATTCACTGAGCTCACCCATGTGGTATTTTTTGTCTCTCGCGTATTGGGTGTACCCAATGACATTGTCACAGCCTTTAATAACACGCTTTAATTAATCCTGGAATTGTGAGTGTGCCATTATGTTCATTTTTCAAAGAAGGGTCAGAGTAGTAAAGAAAAATCTATGATGCTTGCGCAGGGCCACACCAGGAGTCTAGGGCAGATCAGAAAATTAATCTCTTAATCATTCTCCCAATTTGACCCAGCGCTGAGAGCAGAGACCTCCGACTACCTGAGCTCTCTGCACTGCTGGAACTATTTCCATTATCTGGGATGGCCTTTCCCACCTGCAAAAGAGGAGGAGTGGCTCTGAAGTCTTCTGTATGGCTTTGGAGATGGCTGCTGAAGAAAAACACTCTGTAAGGGCTATGACATCATGACTAACCACACACCTCTCCTGGTTTGCAACGCTTTCACATTTCTGAACATTTCCTTTCTCGATGGCTGTAGGAGACAGACCCGGTTCGGATACAAGTGATTCAAGGAACAAGAGAGGAAGATGCTCTGCTCTGTCTAGTCACCCGTCTGGATGGTGTGAACTTGTCCTTCTTCCATCTGCTGCCTCAGGAAGCTGCTCTCAGAGGAGTTTTTATCTGTAAGCAAGGATAAAACCCCAGCACACCCAGCAGGGCAACATGTTAGGGCCAGGTTCTTCCACCATTTTCACCCATAATTAGCCAGGTTGCTCTGCTAAGATCACAGATACTGTTTCAGATTAGTAAGTCTCTACCTGGCCTTTCTCCCCAGACAAAAAGTCTTTGTCAACTTGGTGTCTGCTTCAAACCCAGAAGATAAGGTGACTGTGCGGGCAGTTTATTCCAAATTTGTTCCAAGAGGTCTGGGAGCTGGGGCTCCCGGGCTCTGATGTTTATCAGGTTCTCTGTTCATCTGTTCACGCTCCCACACAACAAAACCACAAGAATCCTGGTTCTCGCCAACAGGGAACCAAACACTGAAAGGGGAAAGTCTCTCAGACTAGTTTTGGGACTCTGATATTCCACAGATCATTCACCAGCTATCAGAACATTTGCAAAGCAATATCAGTTCTTTACCATCCATCCCAGCGTGAAACAGATCCATAGTTCTATATTTCACAAAGAAAATGAAGATAAGCCACCAAGTACTTTTGGTCTAAATAAAAAAATAAAAAATAAATTAAAAAAAAAGATTTTGCAGATATTTGCAGTTCCAAAGGTATTTTAATAAAAGTTTGCTGAAACTCTACAAATCTTGTCAGAAAAATCCATAGGGAAAAAATAACCTTTACAATATTATGTTTCTTGTATTTTCCACTTAAATATTTTGAGCACCACAGAGAAGAGGGTTCCACTAACTCAAGTCAGTTATAAACACCCTTAGAAAACGTTTTTAAAGGCAACTGAGTGATCTAAAATGTCACAGTAAGTGATCTTTTTGAGAGCTAGATGTTAGTTTTTCTTCTCAAAGGGTGGGTTTTTGCTCGTTTCTCACAAGGCCTTGATAGAATCTCCTGTACCCTTTCTTGGTAAGCTCTCTCTGCTGCTAGGCCCGATTCATATTCTTGCTGCTTCTCTTCTTCCTCAGCATCGCGGGCCTGTTGTCGATAGGCAATTTGAGCCCTGAGTTGCTCTTGGTATTCTTTTGCTTCCTTTACTTTTCTGGAAATGACATATAAATAGCTTTTTTATGAAGTGTGAGTGAAAAAAAAAAAAACACAAACAACTTTCAGTATTATTATTTTAACACTCAACCTTACACTGAAGAACCGTCCAAAACTCTGTTAGCCAAATGCTACCTGCTAACCTTACGTTCTTCGGAAAATTCATTGCATTCTGTTGTATCTTATAAAGCAGATTGCAAAATCAGTGCATAACCAAAAAAAAAAAAAAAAGAGCAAGTACAACTCCTTGTCATCGGCGTGCCTTCCCTGCCCCTCACAGTGGCAGTGAGAGGATACAGAATGAGCATGTCGGGTCTCAGTCCTTTCACACCCCATCTCCACTCCCTCATTCTGAAGAGAAGTTACTACCAACAGGGAAGGCAGGGTGCAGGCTACTCCTGTGGTGCTGTAGTGAGGTGGGGTCGGTCTGTTCTCCCAAGGAACAAGCGATAGGATGAGAGGGAATGGCCTCAAGCTGTGCCAGAGGAGATTCAGGTTGGACGTTAGGAAGAATTTCTTTACTGAAAGGGTTGTCAAGCACTGGAACAGTTCAAAAAACGTGTAGATCACAGAATCATTAAGGTTGGAAAAGACCTCTAAGATCACCAAGTCCAACTGTCAACCCAACCCCACCGTGCCCACTAAACCATGTCCCCAAGTGCCACATCTGCACGGTTTTTGAAAACCTCCAGGGACGGTGACTCCACCACTGCCCTAAGCAGCCTGTTCCAGGGCTTGACCACTCTGTCAGTGAAGAAATTTTTCCTGATGTCCAATCTAAACCTCCCCTCACGCAGTTTTGGGCCCCTCACTACAAGAAGGACACTGAGGTGCGTGAGCCTGTCCAGAGAAGGGCAACGGAGCTGGTGAAGGGTCTGGAGAACAGGTCTGGTGAGGAGCGGCTGAGGGACCTGGGGGGGTTCAGTCTGGAGAAGAGGAGGCTGAGGGGAGACCTGATCGCTCTGTACAGCTGCCTGAGAGGAGGCTGTGGTGAGGTGGGGTCGGTCTCTTTGCCCAAGTAACGTGGCACTTGGGGACATGGTTTAGTGGGCATGGTGACAGTTCGGCTGACAGTTGGACTTGATGCTCTTGGAGCTCTTCTCCAACATAATGGTTCTGTGATTTTGTAGGAAACGGCTATCAGAAGAAACCATTCTACCTTGAGACTCATCCATGCCTTCCCCTACCCTCTGGGAGCAGTGAAGTCTACCTACGTGTTCAGGCCCTTGCGGAGCAGGAGTCATAGCCTCGCACAGACACTTAAAATGCCAACAGTGTCAAGACTTGTGCGCTCACACAACACAGCTGAACCACAAACGCCCACTGACACCACCGAATGCTGGCTTTGCTAAGCGAAGCCTATCCCAAACGAAGCTCTGCACGTTTCCTTCAGAAGGGTGAGATTTCTGCCATTACCAGGAGACTGTTGCCAATAAAGCCGTCAGAGAACACAACAGATACTGGCTCTGGAAGGAGCTCTGCGGTTACCTCCCACAGACAAGTGTGGAGAAAGGGCACGAGTACGGAAGGGCAAGTGAATAAGTGAAATAAGGCCCTTTGCCCTAGGCTTTGCATGACACCCAGAGGAACATTTCAGCTACTGCGTACAACTGTATTCTCATCCTGTAAGGTAAGGAGAACCCCGTGGTTAGGTGAAGTAGTCTGGTATTGTGGTGGCTGATGATATGGTTGTTTAAGGGATGTGCGTGGGTGGAGTTTAGCAATAAGCCTGAACACACTAGTTCTCCTAGGTAAGTAAGGACCTAACCTGTCATTAACCCTCCTCCCCAAACCTCTGCAACTCCTAATAACAGCTCAGAGAACGAGGGGATGTATTTAATAACCGTGATGGATGCAAGTCCAAAAAGACCAAAACACAGAGATGTAATGAAACACCATTATTTGTACAATGATATCAGACCTAGTGATCTAACACCAATGGCAATATATTGAGCAGTTTGGAGTTGACAGGCTGCGGTGGCACAGCCTCTCTGAACAGAAGAAAGCCCACCCAGTGCTCTTAAAGTTATCCAAAAATAAGAACGAGCCTCCTCAAGTTTAAAAGATCAGTCTGCAGTGACATATACCGATGGCATAAAAGAAAAATACCTTGCATACTTTTCTTCTTCTATATGCTTGAGTTCTGCAATTGCTTCAGCTAATAACTTCCTCTCTTGATCAAGTTCTTCCTGCTCCTTTGCATTTCTCTGCACTGCAAAAAAAACACCAAAACACTTTCAGAAGTGAGACAGGGAGACTTTATTCAAGCCAAGCAGCCTAAATAGCAGGCCTAAGTTTTGTTGCTTCTGAAGAGGCACACAAACAATGGCAAGTGTATTCTCAGCTTATTTGTTTTTCATCCACTCGGAAGAGAAAAGATTTCACATTCATCATCATCATCATCATAATGATATAATTAATAATAATGACCGCTTGCTCATGCAATCCTTACTTTACTAGGCTTTGCTCTGGTGATAGCAATGGGAGATTAGTGTAAGGAATGCCTGTAGGAGTAAAATTTCAGAAGCAGATTCAGAGACGGCAGCATTGTTGTCCACTCAACCATACAGCCTGTGCGTGCTGGGCCAGATGCTCTTCCCAAAAGCAGCGTGTTGTACTCCCTCTGCCTTTGCCAAGACTTGCGTTCACGCCGTAGGTTTGGTGCACAGACAGCGAGCCGTTAGTACTTACACTTCTCCTCAATCTGCAGTTGTCTTGTATTTAGGACGTCTTTCAGTAGCTGCTTTCTAGCCTCCTTTTCTAATCGCATTTGCTGAGCCTTCTTGGCCCAAACCTTGGCCATCTCTTCATCGAGGAGCTTGTCCACTTCTTTTTCTCGCTCTTTCTCCTTCTCCAGCTGTTGAGCCAGGTGTGCCCGGTAAGTCAGTTGCTCCTTGAGCAGCTCTTGCTGCAAACACACAGACGTTTGCAGATCTGAGTAAATACGTTCAAAAAAAGCCTTTGAAAACGTGAACAGAAGCGGTGGGTTGAGGCCAGCGTGGGAACTGGGAGCCTCAAGCTCCATTCCAAACACCGCCATGGGAGAGTGCTGTGCAGAACCTTCTTCCCGGCCGCTCAACACTGCCTGGACAATGGTGGCACAGCAGAACAAATACAGAGCGATCCCTTCCCCTCCCCAGCAGCTCAGCTGCCTACAACACAGACATTTTACCAGCTTTCCACAGCTGACCGGGCTACTTCACCATCCCCTGCATTAGAAGCCTTCGGATCCAACAAATATCATAATAAATAATACTAAATATCACCTCCTCTACTTTTGTGCCAAGGTCTAACGGTGAGTTTATACAACTTTCCTAACCTGCGCGAGCTTCTAAACACCTTGAGCAGAGTGATGAACGCAGTTCCCTGCTTTCTCTTACAGTTATCTCGAGACTTGTTTTCACCCTGAAGTTGGACAATCTGCTTGTTTTAAATTTAGGAAGTGAAGTGACACATCTATCGTTTTGTGGCATCTCCAAGATGTTCTCCAAGGTTTTGCATCTATATATCCAGCTATTAGAGATTTAAAACCGTTTCTTAGAATAAGTTAAAGACTTTCCTCTGCAGTTACAAATATTGAATAAATCAGGTCCATGAAAAAAAACCCCACATTTTTCTAACCTCCATTCATGCACTAGAAGGATGAAAAAGCTCAGTGATTAATTTTACACAATGAAATCAGCATGTAGGGACAAAATTCCAGGGTTTCCTGAGAGCCCCCTTCTTTTGTCTAGCCTGGTAGCCTTGCTTTAAAGTACTGTGGTTTTAACCAATGATGGGCTTCATCACAGCAGCAGAGCGCTGGCAGGAGGAGAGGCAACAGGCTACGTGACAAAAGAATAAACTTGTTCAAAGAAAAGGGCTTGTGTCTGATCTCACTTATACTGGGCAGTTCACTGTCACAAAATTAGTCTAGAGGAGGTATTGCCCCACAACTTCACAACTAGCCCTTACTTTGCGTTTTGTTTTCTCCTCAGTGTCCTCCTGGGTTTCCTGATGAGATTTTTCTAAGATCTTCATCTCTAGGGCAAGTTCACTTTGTTTTTCTTTGTTAAGATGATTCTTCTTGTCCTGTGCTGCACTGAGCAACACATCCCTGCATTCCTTCTGTTTCTGTAGTTTCTCCATCTGAAGGTGTTCATTTTCTAGCTTCAGCAGTCGCTGCTGTTCTTCCTACAACAGTAAAAATAGCCAGCTTGTAAAATCACTGCAGAACTTCAAACTACACAATGGCTAGAATTAGTTGAATTGGAACATTAAAAAGCAAAGATAAATATTTAAAGCCTTTCTTGCTGGAATTAGTGTCATTCGTTAGACCCGTTAAAGCACGAACATTTTTGCATAGCATTCATTAGAATTCAGGATTTTTCTCTTTAATTATCACATGCCTGGAGTCACGGGAATGCCTGATGTACTCCAAATATTTCAAGCAGACAGACAGAGTCATCTCTTCAGAGAAATCAATATCATTGCAGCACATATGATCTACACCCAAGTCTTCACACGCAGCCATAACCGCTAACTGGTAACAGAGCGACGTGTTCCTCCTGTTCCTGCGTGTATTACCTGTCCTGTGTTTGTGCTGCATGTTCACAGCACTGCATCTCTAGTGGACGTAAGGGTGCACCAAGTAATTGTATCCTTATATTCTGATGGGCAGTTCCTCAGTTTCCGTGGCTTCAAACCACTTTATATTGGAAAGAACAGGAAAATGGACAGTAAAGTTGTGTTCTTAAGAAACAATAAAAATAGGAAACGTATATTGAAGATCAAACAGGTATATGTATATTCGAAATTTAGCATAATTCCTGAACACCCTGCATTTGGATAAGTTTACAAGCACTCACAGTCATAAAAGAGTACGTGGCCAACATTAGCTTATCTACAGGTCTCAGAAGCTGCCTCAACTGTCTGGAAGGTACAGGTTTTTGCTATCCTCTTTTTAAATTAAACATCTCTTTTGTGATGTCAATAAATATTCTAACATGGATCAGCAGGTTTGCCATAAACAACGTGCCTAATCTTTCCCCATGTGGAAGTACAAGTGGCACCTCCTGAGGAATCTAACTTGTGGTGCTGGGCAGAAAGCACTCACTGACAGTTCCAGCGTTTCAAAGCCTCTTTGCCTGAGCAGCCAAATTCACTTTCAGAAGCTGGTAAAACAGCTTTGAAATTCAGTATATATTATCTGAACTACTAAGTAATCCAAAACACTTTGAATGGTGAAGAAGGTGGAACTAGTTAGCAGACTACTGGGCAAGCTGGCACACGCCTTGGGCTGAATTCTGGCAACAGTGAGGTTGTGTGAAAGCAGCCAAGGCTGGGATCCGTGGTCCTTACTCTGTGAAAGTTTATATGACGGGGTAACACAACATTGCAAACGTATGAAGAAATTGCCACCATCCACCTGCAAGCCAGGACCAAAGTGCTACGGCAGAAACTTGTCTAGCACTTGAGCCTACAGCCAGAACACCACAATTTCAGTCACCTTCTGGAGAAACCATGATTGTTTAACGGAGAGGAAAGACAGAGGAGGAGGAAGGCAGCTAATGTAGGTAACACAAATATTGCTGCCTCTCTTCTGTCATCCAGCCTGAGACATCTTGACGTACACATACGGTCTATCGTGGCAAAGGTGCAAGTTTTGCTTCACTAAATAATCTATTTCCACTGCAACAACCAGAAGAAACCATTATCAACAGAGACACTTCAGCTGTCCACCACCCATGAAATCCCTAATCATTAGAGGCTACCAGCTCTGCACTGAGAAACTTGTAACAAGGCCATCTGCCACAGCCCTCTTCTGCTGAAAAAGGATTACGTCCCATTTTCAACACAGAAACTCTCCTTTATGGACTCTTTGAATAAATCTTTTTTTTTTTTCAGAGACTAAACCACTTTACCAGAAATTTATCTCCTTGACAGAGCCCAAGGCAGCTGTCTTCAGGAGAAGCTACAAAGTCTTCTATGCTAATAGCATTTTTCTGAAAAGGCCAGTTAAGTAGAAGTGTTCTTTGCCTGCGAGGTTTGGCAGCACCTTAAAAGTTGTTACAAGAAAATAATTTTATTCTGCATGTTTTTAAATAAGTGAAACACTGCAGTCTAGCAAGGAATAAGGACTCTGCTGTTTTACAGCTAGGATTTTCAGAGCTTTAGATTTATTATCGTCATTATTTTTAAAAAGCAGCAGGGTATCTATCTTGCCAACATCAGCTTCCAGTGCTTAACAGAGCACCCCAAGTCAATCGCTGCGTGTAAATAGCCACAAAACGAAGACCAAGTCTGACCTAAGTAGTCTCCCATAACTCACAAAGTCAACACTGCGAGCTAACAAGCCTCACTAAAGGCAGCACAACTACAGCAAGCCCACCCTGGGCAGAGATGAGGAGGGGAAAGGGGAAAAAAAAAAAAAAAAAAAAAGAGGAGAATGGCTAGAAAAGATGGCCAAGGTGGCCAAACGCCTCGCGCAACATGGCACCCAACAGCAGCCAGCACTAATAAAAAGCCTAGGCACTGCTTGTTATTTTGTTCAAACAAAAAATGGGTGTAGCTTCTGAAATTCAGCCAGCTGAGGCATAAGCAGTCGGGATTTTTCGCACACACGTGTCTCCTCACATATACGTCCGGGTCCTGAGTGCACCAACAGGCTCTGCAACCTCCCCACGGGGGCTTGGCAGCCTGCGCTCGCAGCCAGTGCTGACGCGAGCCTTGGATCAGAGAGCTGGGAAAGAAAAAGGGCTGAGAGGAGCTGCTTGGGAGCCGCAGTTAGGCTCAGCCTCTCACCTTTGGTGCCTACGTGAGCTACGCCTGTGTCCGAGGTCGGTCCTAACCCAGACCTGCTGCCTGGCTTCACCTTGGACGTCATCGCTCCAGACGTGCCAAGCAGTTTGGGCTGTCAGATGAGCCCGGTTGCTGGCAGCAGACCTGCTCTGCTCCGTTCCCTTGGGTCCTGGGGGACTCTTGTTGCGGGGGGACAGCGTGCTTGCCTGCCCTGCTGTCACCCTCAGCTCCCGGCTCGCCTTCCCTTCTGGGAGCAGCAGACTCCTGCTGCTTCCTCCCAGTGCACTTACCATGATAATTAAACATACATATCACGGTCTGAGATCCGCGCTAGCTATCCCCGCAGGAAACCAGAAAATTGCAAAGACGTCTGGCAAAAGCTTAAAAACATTTTGATTTCCCACAAAGGCTCCGAGTGGCTTTGAATGCCAAAAATCCTTTACAATGCAAAGTTGCAAAAGATGTGTTTCCCTCTGTAAACAGGAACGCATTTGCCACAGCTCTGGCAAAGAGGCTTAGCGTAATAGGACAGTCTCAAATACTAATGGAATCAGTGAAGATACTACTAAGGTATGGATTAATCTAAACGTCTAGTAAGCCTACCATTAGGAGGGCCTTACACACAACCCTGAATTGAGAATGATAGGGAAATTACCAGCGATCGAGCCTCTTCTTCCTTCAGCCGCTTCTCCTCCTCTTTGTGAGCGCTGAGCACCGCCACGTGGGCGTCGAGCGCATTCAGGAGGTCCCGACTCTGTTCCACTGATTTCTGCATCTCCACTGCCTCTCGCTTTTCCTTGGCCAACCGATCCTCTTTCCAAAGCTCTGCAAACATCTGCTCTTCCTCCTCCTGGTGCTTTTTCAACTCCTCCTTCAGAGCTAGCTGGGCCAGGCGGTCTTTGCACAATTCCTTCTGATGCTTCTTCATCCACTGTATGCGAAGCTCCTCGCACTGTTCTCTGAAAGGCAACGTAAAAATGTTTTTTAAAAAAAAAAAAGTCTCAAAATAATAAGCAAGTGAGGCGTAGAGGCTTCCAGCTTATAACTACTCAAAGGACTACGGCTGAGGATACCAAATTCTATACCTGGTCTGACAGCAACTCCTTGTGAGGCCTAAGAGCCTGATTTGATGGAGATTTTGACATTAAGGAGTTGAAGAGCAGATCCTATATTTGCATTTGTAAGGAAAAAAAACCCTATATATACATACGTTATATATACAATGTGTATTTTATATTAACTGTATATGTGTAGCTGGAACGTGTGCCTTTTTTCCACGTATAAACCACACGCACACTACGCTTGTTCAAACACGCAGGTTGCTCTTTATGCAAATGAAGACTTAGAACAGGTTTATTAGTCACTTGAAAGCTCATTCATAATCAGAAAACACTTTGAGAGCGGAAATTTAGGTTACACAATTGAACAGGAACCACTAGAAATTTATTAATTTTTTTTAGTGGAGTTCTGTGGGATAATTCAGAAGAGTTGCAATAAAAGTCTCGAGAAGCTAGAACGTCAAACAAGTCACACAGCTTTCAATTTTCACTTACTCACTGCAACCAAGTTGCATATAAACAGGTATTTATCTTCAGTGGAAGAACACTCAGCTATTTCCAGATGCTTTTATTTTTGCAAACAAAGCACTATTGAAATCAACATATTACCAAATGCTATTTGATCTGAAAAATATACATTCTCTTCTCTAACCAGCATATAGATTTTCATAAAATCAAAACGTGAAACGAGCGGACTAGAAGATCTCCAAGTGTTAAGGATCTCTAAGCTCTAAGGACGCGTGACAGACACATATGAATGCTGTGAAGTAAAAAGATATCTCACAATTTCACGCTGAGTGAAACCATCTTCCGCAGATTATTGCAATGCTATTTAGGAATGCAGAGCAGACATCACATCCCTGACTGAATCTTGAAGCACTGCATGACAGCAGTAGTTACCTGTACAAGGTGAAATACTATTACTTTAGACAACCTTTAACTGACAACCCTCTCTAAGCAAAAATATTAAATATTCATCAAGCAACTATCTCATCGTACTATCAGTCTCCGCATCAGGATCCTTATTTAATTTGCATAACTACAGCAATGAAACAAAATCTGAATTAATTCCATAGCCTAAGATTTTTTTTTTTTTTTCCACTTAAAAGCAAAATTAAGCTTGCCAGCACTAAAAGTAGATACTTGGCGATTTCCTTTTCCGTGTTCTGTGGCTCTGCTAAAGGCCTGTCTTTGTAAAGTCTTCACTTTTCTAAACGATTCCTAAGTCCAGTACAGCTGCTGTCTCCATCTAAACTCACTCCTACACTCCCTGACCTGGGTTTTGGGCATAGAATTAACAGGAACCTTATTCAGTATCTGAGGGCGCCTCCATGGAAGCTACAGAAGATGCAAATTTGGCTTCTCCCTGAGGTCAACTGCTCTATCCACTGGCAAAGAGTTTAGCCACACAGGATGTGACTGGTGGTCTAGAACTCATTGCTGCCCTAAATTAGCAAGATTATGCTCTCAAATAACGGCTTCTTTACTTGCCACACCTCCTTTGTCACCCCCTGCTAACAAGCGCAGCTCCTGGTATCATTAATACGCGGCTGAGGCAACTACCAGCGTGTAATAATCATGTGTTGGCTTACAAGATCTTCCAAAGCTTTACCAATAAAACCCCATGCTAAGCCAGCCTAATAAAAATGACTTAGGGCTTCTAAACCACAAAGAGCATTTCCCCAAACAGCCCTCCTCCAGTTCAGAACCGGCTGAACGAGCTGCTGACAGACAGAAAAAGTGACAGTGCCGAAAGCCAGCCTGACCCTGTCCTCAGTGCCACAGCGCGAGCCATCCAACCGGTCAAACTTCAGAGCGGAGCGGTGCAAAACAGCAGAGCTGTGACTGCGGAGGGGAAGGATTGCTACACCTCGCTCTCCCTGGGTGCTGCAGGAGTGAGATACAGCCAAAGAACACAACGCTTGGCCTGTAATTTCACGCAGAAGTCTCGCCACATTTTCTTCCTATCAGCATTCAGTGTTTGCTGCCTCGTATTTCAGCTGTGAGCTGCTGGGGCCAAGGGCATCTCTCTCTTCGTCCTCCATTTGGAAAGCACCTAATGCCATGGAGACAGTGGTGAAAGGTGCTAAGCACTATAATAAAAGGGAGAGCGGTGCCATGAAAACGAAAATCTCAATTTACTCGATATCCAGAAGGCATTTCTAACCTCTCAACTGTTCCTGACTGAGAAGAAACAACAGTAATCCATCAAGTCCCCTTTCTTCAACACCATGTCTCTGTAAAATAAAACCTGCCACACTCAGCACTTTTCTTGGAGTCTCCTTCTCTGGAGACATGCAAAACCTGCCTGGATGTGTTCCTGTGTGATCTACTCCAGGTGGTCCTGCTCTGGCAGGGGGGTTGGACTAGATGAGTTTTCGAGGTCCCTTCCAACCCCCACCCTTCTATGATTCTGTGATTCTCCCCCAATTCCACGCCACATCCTCTAACCAAATGTTGTGTTCTTCCCTGAGAGCTGGACTAGTATCCTTTAAGGGAGAAACTGTCCCTGGAATGAGGAACCGTCCTCAGCTCAGGCCTTGAGAAAGGTGAGGAAATACAAGAGTGAAAGAGCAGACATCAGTGTAGGCTAGTGAAAAGGGACAGCCACTCTACTTCCTTGCACGAGCCGAGAACCTTCTGACCAGTCATTTACTGGCCATCCCAACGACGAAAGCAGAGAGCAGCACGGCAATGTGCACGGCCTGCTCCAAGAGGTGCCCCTGCCTTCAAGAATGTCAACAAACATACCATGTCATTGCTGGGTTTCTTACAATATACCACTGGGATCTATTTTCCACTTCCTGTGTAGGAGTTAGTGGTGATTATGGCAAAAATTAGTATTCATGAAAACCAGATTTCTGAGGGAAACACGCCACTATTAAGAATTGAAATCTTACACCATTAGAAATAACTGTATTACCTTAACACAAGGGGTTCAAAGCTCTCTCAGCAGTGAAGGAATAAAGAACTGGTTATTCTTTGTCATGATTATAAACTAATCTGAATTTAATTGAATTCCCAGAGGGGAAGAGAAGTTAAATAAAAATTTGGCATGGTTAGAATTTTAATAGAAAATAACCCTGTAATTGCTTGATTTCATCAAAATAATTCCTTCAAAGCAGCTTTTACAGCAACCTATAAACATCTGCTCCCCCAGATGGCTGGTTTTCTTCCTCACTTTGCTATCCTAAGCTTCTTAACATTAAAATTGTGCCCGTATGTAGCCACTTCCCAAAGACAGAAACTGCATTTATTCCCCCCACCGCCAGTTATTTATTCATTTTACGGCTGCGGTACAAAGTTGCTGTGATAACAACATTCTCTGTATGGATGCTCCTGATGCAGAAAGAGGATGTAATATGTATTTTATGCAAATCTTAAGACATTGCCATTTTCTTTAGAGATACCAATGATGAACACGCCCTCAGGCTAAAACTGGCTGAATATCTCTTCATACAAGTTGTAGCCCTTCGTGAAAACGAATTCCAGCAGAACTCCGGTGGGTCAAGGACCGTGCTCTCTGTCAGAGGACTCTTCCTGGCTAACATCACGACTGAGAAGCTGTTAAATCTGTATCCTCAGGCTACAGCTCCGAAGCCAGCCCACACGGCTGATAAAAGAGCTGCCTTTTAGTCCTCGGGAATAATAATGCACGGAGCGCTGTACGTTATAGGTGCTCCTGTACCGCAGGTTTGAGAGCCTGTACCTGCAAATGAGCGGAGCACCTTGCTCAAAAAGCAATATAAAGAAGCCTTACAGAAAGGCATTCAAAACAGTTGTAAATTCACAGGCAAAGGGAAGTAGAAAACCACGTGTATTTCCACCTGCTACTGAAATGACCTCCCGGGGCTCCTCTGGGTGGGCCCGAGAGCAGCCATCTCCGATGTTGGATGTGCAAGACAATCCATTGGGGTGGAAGAAGAAAATATGTTTTATACCATTAATAAATAACATTAAAAATAAAAATAGTGTTTATTCCATCTTTACCTCACCCTCTTTTAATTTAATTAAGTATAAGTGTATAATTTATAACATATTGGGGGTGAGAGCTAACATTTTTTTTAACTGATTGGGGTACGCAATCAAAGAGGTTTGGAGAGCACCCAGCACTCTAAGGGGACAGGTTGTGACCCAGTTACAGACTTCTGGTTGAGGATCTTCAATAAGTGTCGATCTCCTGAGCAGCCAAGCCTGCTGCCAGATCTCCGTGTGGGCCAGGATGGTTTAGAAGGAAAAGTAACAGCTAAGAGTGGGGTGAAAAGCAGATTTGGGGCTACTTAATAACAAATATATTCAGATATTAGAAGTTACTAATCTCATCAGAATTGATCACCACAGTAGAGACGTCCTTTCTCATTGGAAAAGGACAGAGAAGAAAACACTTTAAAATATTTCTAAGCATATACATGAAGAAAGATATCTGGCTTTTGAAGGGGAGATCAACAGACAGTTGAACTGTTCTCACCTGGTGTTATTAAAGTTGGTTTTTTTATAGACCCTTAATTTTAACAGTAGAAAGCGACAGAGCTAGAGCAGCAGAGGGAGGAACTGACTATGGAAATATATTTCCATTGCATCAGGGCAGTCAGAGAGAAGGACTCCATGCATGGCAGCATGGGGATTCATTTGCAACGATCCTCAAAGATTGCCACTCACAACGGCTGTGAAGAAAGATGATTTCACTGCCCCTAAATCCTCTGAAATACCACAGCCAGCAGAACTCCACCTAGTAAAGCTACAGCAACACTTTTTAATGGGATATTACGTGGCACGAATATTGCCTAGATCCAAGAGCGGACTGGGAAAAGCAGAAGGATGATGGGAATGATCCCAGGATCATGTGTGAGCCATACAGCAACGCAGGAAGAAGGAGGACCTGATACACTAAGACAGGCAACTGCAGCATATTTTCAAGCCAGCATGTGAATTCAGAAGTGCACACGCTGCCTTAACACCCATCTCAATAAACCCCACGTTTAAGAAACGGACGTTTTTCTGTGAAATTAATGAATTAGAGTTTATGCACAAGTGTTGGTTTTTATCCCCAGCTTCTTCACACTGAGAAGCAGGTGGTGTGGGTTTTCCATAGCACCGTGGGAGACCGGGAAGAGACACTTCAAATGATTACAATTAAATTACATTAATATTATTTTCATCCCTTCCTCAGAAGACCAGATTTCCAAGAAATGAGCAAGTCAGATTTCTTGCCAAGGCCTCAGGGCCTGCGAAGCACCTGCATATCTTAATGACTTCATGCTGCCAAGCCCAGCATCCAGGAAGATTTGGCAGAGAACTTCAGGTTGCGTTAAAACCTTAGCCGGTATTCTTGAAAAATATGCAATAAATAAAAACACTGTCTTTCTGGACAATCTTAATTTTTCAAGCATTTTTGATGTATTTGCTTAATAAACATTATTTAGGCCAAATTAAGCTTCCCTGAACTTTTCACTCCACTAGTATACAGCTGAAATAGAACAAGAAATTACAAAACCAGCTGACTTGGCAGGTGCAAGCGCAGGGATGCTCACGCAGGACAAGGAGTTTCACCCCAAAATGGAAGAACGTTTTCACGGCATCTCGACGCTGAAATCAAATAACGGAGATGGGACAGTTCTCTGTACCTGTTGTCTCCATCTCTATTACTGAGAATTTTTACTGAGCATCACAGCATTGCGAATTTGGATCCCTGGTTTTCAGAGGCTGCACCGCTTTGTCAGAAAAGGACGATACTCGGCTCCCCTGCATGCCCTATAGCTGAGGCCTTTCAACTTCTGGCAAAGCTCACACGCCTCTAGCCAAACCACCTCAATTTTTTTTATTTTATCATTTCAAGCACATTCCTTCCTCAGCTGATTATTGTCACCTTCTTGCTAAATTGTCCCTTTATGTTTATTTCAGGCAAATTCTCTTTTATAAGATATTTTTACAGTGATACCTGAATTGCTGCTCTCGTTTTTCGGCCACCAGTTGTTGCCTTTCTTTTTCTCGCTTCTCTCTCAGTAATTTTGCTTGCTCCCTCATCTTTCCTTGTTTCTCCTGCACCGTTTCTTCAAGTGCCTCCATCTCAGCGAAGTACCTACTCTCCTCTGCCTCCAGCAGCTCACGAAGCCTGTAACGAGAGCATTTAAATAAAAGCTAAACCAATCCTCCTGTTGAATGACAAAGAGCTTGTTATGAGCGCAAAACGGGTACCTTTCAACATTTCTTGCAAGTGCCAAACAAGGGAACATCAAACTTGAACTCAGAGGTCGTTCCTGTCATGCCCATGGAGGGGATCTTACAGCCCAACAGGAGTAATTCGGTCCCGGTACAATTTAAGCTCCTTATCTTACAAACCCATTTCCTATGCCGCTTTACAGCTCCAGGCCCCCATTAAACAAATTTTTCTAATTTCCAGGCTACATTTGCCACCAGTTGACATCCATTTGCTCTTGTACCATTGTTACCCTTCCCTGGAATTTACCACCCTTCTCTACGCCTCTATAACTGTATCTTCACGCAATGACCTTTTGTTATTTTAGCATCACTCCATAAGCCACTTCATCCTGAAAAAGCTTTGATGAGAAAATGATGTCAAATTGGCAATTTTTTAAACACACCACCATTTACCTCTCTGTTAACCCTAGCAGTAAGAAACCTGGGGCTAAGGAATCCAGAAACTCACTAATTCCAGCCCAAATAACACAGCGGCCGCTGGGAAATCACTCTCACTTTTATGCAATGGGATGCCCCTGCTACTGCGTGAGCAAGAGTGCTGTGGACCTCCACTGGCACTGGTGGTGGGAGTGATGGCAGCAAGGCCAAAGACTGACTAATTCTGGAAACCGAATTGCACTCTTTTCACCACATACAGAGCCAAGCTTCCCTGCAAAGACAGCACGGGGATTGTAAGCAGCTAAATAAGAACAAACTCCATGAAATTCATAGAATCATTAGGTTGGAGAAGACCTCGAAGATCATCAACTCCAACCACCACCCCAGCCCCACCGTGCCCACTAAACCACGTCCCCAAGTGCCACATCTACATGGTTTGTGAACACCTCCAGGGATGATGACTCCACCACTGCCCTGGGCAGCCTGTTCCAGGGCTTGACCACTCTGTCAGTAAGGAAATTTTCCCTGATGTCCTCCCCTGGCACAACTTGAGGCCGTTCCCT